AGTGGTCTGGTTGGTTCTGGCGGCGCACTCTTGCTCGTTCTCGGAGTCCTCGGAGTGTGTGGATAAGAGGCTTCCAGGACCGGCTCAGGTGAAGTCCATCTTCCCTGTTAAAGTTATCAGGATGAAGTTCGATCTCGATGGCTTCCCTGATTAACCGATCCATGTAGCCGGTTTTTGCGGAGAGGATAGAAGTGTCCTCTAGCTGTAATAATCAGTGTCCATTTCATAATGCTTATCATCACAATGTAATTAGTACTCTTGCTTCATGTTCAGGAAGTCCTCAAGTGTGAATATCAGCGTCAGCAGTTCAGACTAAGGCTCTGTTTTTGTTGTTCCCCAAGTTCCCCCAGTCAGAAGTGACGTACCATAAAATAGGCCATGAGAGCATTATTCTGTCCCTTTCTTATCTCACCGTTCATAATCATCAGTGTGTATGTTACAGTAATAGTCATAATCTGTGACATTTACACAGTGTCACAAAATTAACCAAGATGGTTCATCACATTCGATAAAACTCTGCCGATGGGTGACATCGCATAAGAGATCGTTGAAGGAGGGGGCGGGGTGGATGTTAGTGGCTTATTTTAATCTAGTGCATATTGTATCAGAAGCATTAGTCTGTGTTTATACAAATGAATGTCTGACATATTATGAATTCTGCAGTGAAACAAAGTTCATACGTTTGCTGTTAAGACTGTATATCTGACTGACTATGGCACAACAGCCCGAGCCGATCCTTGGCGTTCTCCCATGTTGGAGGTTTCTTTATCTTTTTAAGCGTGCATTTATAAGTAGTGAGTGACAAGCCCACTGCCTCTGCACAATTTCTACTCAATCCTGAATTTGTGAGCCAGATCCATCTAGTAGTGAATCAGAAGAGATTTGGGTGAGAAATGGCTGCTGAATTTTGCTTACGGAACATCTCGTTCATGCTCGTAAGGTTCTTTTACATGCCGTAAATCTACGACATGGGACCGCCTTCTTTACTTCCCCTCTGAACAAATTTGTGCTACAGATTTTTATCAGTCTTAAAAATCCATCGACCTCGGCATGTGCATAATTGGCTGTGAGCAGTTTTTTTTAGAAACTTGCACTGGTCATGAGTGTTGCAAAGGTGAATCTTATGAATGTTCTGTTCTGGACTTGTTACTTCTGGAAAACTGCAGTTTCCATCCTGATCCTAATCTTCAAAGTTGGGGGAAGAAGGTAGAGGAATATTTAAAAATAATCAACTAACAAAAACAGTCATCAGACATGGGAAATTATTGCAGTATTTGTATTTAGTAGTAAGTACTGGTGTTAAATAGGAAATTAAAATGTTCAGGTCCATTGAAATTCCATGTAGTACTCTTTATTAACTGCTTTAGCATTTACATAGACGCTGCTAAACAATCTGCTTTGTTTTGTTTCTTTTGGTATGTCATAAACTTTTGTTTAAGGGAATTCGCTGTCACCTCCATCCTTTTTTTCAGAGTATGACTTTAATTATTTTATGATTTCTGGGAGATTTGAAATTATTTCTAGCAGTCATATATTTTAATGTCAGTAATTTTAACAGCTGTTTCAGTAGCATTCACTTTTGTTTGCAATAGGTTTTATTAGTTTTCTTATACTGGTACTGTGTTGTTTATTAGATGATGGCTTAGTAATTCCAAGCGTAACGCCAGATACACGCCACCAGTTGCTCTTAGTTGCTGAGCGACTGGGTTTAACTGAAGAACGCCAAGCTGAGCTTATGGGAAGAGCTGCTACAGAAATGGCTTTGCAGTTGCTTGGTGGTGGACATAGGTAAGCAGATAATTTATGTAATAAAATACATTTTCATATGTACGATGTAGTTACAGTACAGTAGACTTGACTTTTGGCAAGGATACTTGTTATCCTGATAAAATTTTCATATATAAAGTAAAGCTTTCGTGGCGACTGAAGTTGATGTTAAGACTCTCGCCGCATCAGGTGGCTGATTGGTGAATAAACCATATCTTCTGCCAACGTTTCGAGAGCAAACTCTGCTCATCCTCATGGGAGTTCCCATGGCGAACGCGCTATGAAGGATCAGATTTGTTACGCAGCAGCCCTGAGGATGAGAGCAGAGATTGTTCTCGAAATGTTGGCAGAAGATATGGCTTATTCACCACTCAACCACCTGACGCGGCTTGTAACCCGAGAGTCTTTCATCAAGATTTTCATGGTTTCTCTGGGTTCTTCAGGTAAATGCTGGAATAGTATCTTAAATATAATCTGTTCCCATAATGAATTCTACTCAACCTACCAGCTGTTTAAGATGGTTTATTGATTTTATTCAATAAACCACCTTACATGGCTGGTAACCCAAGAAGAATTTATTATACTGTTGCCGTGAAATCTTCAGATCATAAATCTGTTACGACTTCTGCATTCTTTACAAATGACCATCATTATTCTGTTATTTTTCATTTACTGTTGCGTGACCTAAGCAGTTGACACCATTATTAAATGAATCAGTGTTGAATGAATGTTGCTTTTAATAATACAGATGTGACATTAAATTACAGTTTATTTTAATAATCTTATTAAATAAAATTATTTTCAGTTTGACTGTTATATATTTATTTATTTGTGCTTTATTTAACAAAACTGTCACTAGTGCAGGCTGTATACAGTGTCAAATGATGGGATGATTAATGAATGGTGAATTTGAAATGATATTGAAGGAAGTAGTAATGGTCTATTTGAATGTACTATACTGGCATTTGTCTGGAGGGGTGAGTAAAAGCATGAACATCCACAGTCAGGATAGCAAATCTCTGGGTCAAAAGTTGAACCTGGGACTTCACACATAAAAAGCAGGAGTGCTAACCACTCTGCCATTACATTAGTATGACTGATGTCATGCATTTAAGAATAAAAGTTCTGCCACGTCCCTCCCTTTACTTAAACTAGATTTCAAAAATTTGCAACTATCTCATATGTTGCAACAAATGTTAGTTTTAGTATTTGATATAATTTGAATGATTATGTTCAGAATTTATAAAGTGACTACTTAGAATGTGAAATTTTATTATAGGCTGAATCCACACAATGTCCATCAGTGGCCTACTGTTGTTTCCCTTTGTGGCTCACATCGCCAGGGGGCCATCGCAGTTAACTGCGCTCGTCAGTTAGCTAGCCACGGAGTCAAGACGGTTGTATTTCTGTTGGATCCAACACATTTAACAACACAGCTTACCCATGAACTGGCACTGTTTAGGCACACCAACAATAAACTCATTACTACTGTACAAGGTACGATGACAAAAAATTGTCACAAACTTTTGAATTTATGTTTAATAAGTTATGTCATACTTTGTTACGATAGTTGCTGTTGACAACATGTTTTGTTCTGTGACGTATGCTTGTCAGCACAGGGCTGTCTGAATGCATTATTTCATCAAAAGCATGGTGGTATGTTGATGCCGTCGACAGATTTTGTTCAATGACATGCATCTACTTATCATAAAGAACGAAGGGAACTCAGTACATTGCCATTCATGTATAAGGAAAATCTTTGCATTGAAAGGGTTAACTATCTGTGAATTTCATGACTAGATCATTTATCCCAGTTAATTCTGTAAAAGTGATCAGGGATGATACAAGCCACCTACAAGTATTTTCTAGAAACTTGTATGAAATAACTGTTTTTAAGTTAACAGTTACAAACACAGTGATTTAAATACACTTCACATATTCAGATATACCTATTTGTTATGAGTTTATGTACTTTTAGAAAATTGAATAGATTTATTACAAGGGGGGCCAGCATAGCTCAGTCATTGTAGTGACTGGCCACGGACTGGATGACAGGGGTTCGATTTCTGATGGGGGCAGAGGATTTTTCCTCTACCCTCTGCGTCCAGATCGGTCCTGGGGCTCACCCAGCCTCCTATCCAATGGGTGGCAGGGTCCTTCCCTGGGGGTAAAGCGTGGCCGGGCTATGATGCTGACCACTCACCCCCTTCTAGTGCCGAGGTCAAGAGTGAGTAGGAGCTATACCGCCTCTTCCCCCAAATGCCTACATGGCGTATAGAGGGACAGCTTTACTTTACTTACTTTATTACAAGGCAAAGTTTACCATTACATTGAAGCTTGGAAATTAATTGCTGTGGTTAGCTTCTCAGAAACATTAAGATTAAGGAAGATTTTTTTGATTACCCACTGTTTTGAATTATTCATGCTGGTACTCTTCTCTCTTAACTTTGAATATTTGAAAGTCTACAGTCTTAAATTTTACTTTATTTATTGCTATGAAATTTCTGGAAATTTTATTTTATGCATTCTACATATTTAGCGGAACAGTTTCATTCAATATATAAACCATGAGATAACTCACGTTGTCTGTTAGGTTTATTAACAGAGCTTTCGAAGTGTTATGTATCATCCTTTGATTTGTATATACATATTCATATTCTGGACTTTGGAAGTAAATAACATGTTCATTAATATTATTATCTGCGTAAAACTTTCTTGCTGTATGACATTACAGAGTTGCCAACAGTTGCAGTCGACTTGATTGTGCTGGCATTAGCAGGTGAACAGGGAAATCAGTTACACCAGGCTCGATACAGGGCAGCAGCAGAGTGGGCTAACGAGAACCGTGCTCCTGTGCTGGCATTGGATCCGCCTCCAGCTGGTACACCAGGAGTTGATACCAAATTTTCTCTTGTCCCTCTCCTACCCCTTGCTCACAGTCTTGAAAATGGCAAGATATACCTTTGTAACTTGGCATTTCCACTGCAGGTGTTCAGAGAGGTTGGAATTGAGTACAGCTCTCCGTTTGGGCCCAAATTTGTTATTCCTCTTCATCCCAACGACACATAGTCCAGATGTTCGAAACTGTACCTACAAAATTTGACGCTTTGTTTCACTTAAATGATGAGGCATAAAAATCTGATTCAAGTACAACTCATATCAGCATTTCAATTCATTTATGTTATGACATGTTCAGTGTATTTGACCTTGAACGTTTTGAATATTGGTTTCAGTTCTTACTGTTGAAGGCTTGCCACTTTGAGAGTAATTGTCCAAAATTGATCCTGTCTTATCAGTTTTCTTGTTGAGGTTAGAAAATTGTGTGTATCTGTGGTCTAATGCTGATTCCCTTTCTGATGATCGAATGTACTCTTCATTGATGAATATCCGCTGCTTGGTACTGAATAAAATCAAATGAAAACTGATAATAAACAAATGGCTCAAGTACTACAGTGTGTTAGCAAAGTTTCTTTGAATTTTAATCACTCGCAGAGATAATTAAGTTTAGATTTGGTGGTTACATTTTTAACCACCTTGTGTAATACTGGTCTGTTCTCCCATATAATAGCACTTTCAAAGCAAAGGGAAAGCAGTGATGTAATTGAAAGTCAGAGGAGGTGGAGAATGAGGTGGCATATTTTGGGCATTAAGATGAAATGTTTTGTAAGAATTTTAAGTATTTTACTGTTGTACTTCATTGATAGAGCAACAAGTTATGGTCATGTTGCAAGTATCAAAGTGTTTATATCATAAATATCTGGAAAGTAAGATTTTTCTTACATGTAGTGTCTATATGGTAATTTTGTTTGGTTGTGATCCAATGCATGTCTTTTTGACGTAAATACGTCTATGCGGAAGGGTCATTCGGCAAAAAGGCGTAACGAAGATGTGTAAGATCCATATCAACAATATGTAAATATGGACCGACAACAATGGTGAGCTTTTATATGAACTCCTGCGTGCATTGTTATGTTACCTAAGAAACTGATTGTTACGTCATCTGTTTACTCGGCATTGTTGTGTTACGCTACTGCCGTCAACAATCCGCTTTCGTTATTGCGGAAAGAGCTGAGCTGTGAATCGCTTGTAGAAGAAGTGCGTCGTAGACTAGATAATTTTGTGCTGGTAAAAACGTTTTAGAATGTCACAGGAACTTATCTTATATAAGAATTATTACATTTCATTTCATCACATTACAGAGACGTATTTACGTCAGATTCTCTGGAACCTTGGTTCCACTGTCAACATTTTTGTGGTGTTTTATAGATATTTGTTTTCATGTTATACAATGAAGGTAGATCTGCATTGATATGTGGTGGTGACTTATAATCTCAGGAATTTCAGTTTAGAGTCTTATTGGTAATGCTTCAGGGTCTTGGTAAATATCGGTACACATACTCAACATTAAGCTTAAGACTGTAGTTACTCCTGACTACTTAATTTCCTTTATAAGTAACCCTTGACAAAAAGCATATTACATCTGCAGTTTCCAGTAATAATAGTCATCATCCTTTGCAATTTACATTCAGTTTTGCCTTGTAGATTGTAGAGATTCAGACTGATGCAGTTGGACAGTTTCTGTCCAGATATGAAATTATTATGTTTTGAAACTGCGCAATTTATAAAAAGTGAAGGCATTTTACAGAAAGGAAAAGATAAAAAGGTAAATTTGTACGTACAGTAACTGTTATACACACACTAAGCATTGTTCTTGTTGAGAAACTAATAATTGCTCAGATAGTCAATAAGTTCCCTATCATTATGGAAGTTGAAGGTTTATTATTGTATTGCAAATTTGATTGTGGCTTTCTGCCAGCAACTGGTCCTATCCTGTTTAGCTGAAGTTTTTGTTCAAGATTAATTGAAACTGCTGAAAACAGCACAGACTGCGGCAAATGGCTTTCATGCCACAGGAGTACATCCTCTGAACGGAGATATTTTCACAAATGCATCTTAATTGTCACAGAAGTCAAGGCCAAACAAAATAATAATTTTTATGCTACAGGAACTGATGTAATTTCTATAAACATGACCGAAGACAGATAAGATGTTTATTTTACTTCTGGTATATTGCTTGTATAGTGAATCATGTCTGACTACTGAAGACATCTTGTTCATCAACAGAAGGAAACTTCAAACCGAGGACATAATGCTTCTTCAGCAGTCCTCATCGCAGCCCCCCAAAGATATTTGTCACAGGCTGTAGAGAAGGAGCAGAGAACGCGTGTGAACCACTAAAAGGCAAATAAATTGTAGAGGAAACCAAAAGTAGCTCCAGAACAAAGAGGGGAACATAATGGTGCTTTAGACAGTTCAGTCACGTTTGTCGCGTCAGAGACCTCAAAAGCCCAATTGCCTCTGGGAGAACCGTCTTTCGAAAATATATAAAATGCATATTTTTCCTAAAGACTGACAATTGGAACAGTGGATCTAGTGTGTGATGTGTGAAATGTGGTTTCACTGGGATGTGTGGGTTGTGATACAACAGAATACGTTAGTGGTTACTGTAAATGTTCTTCTGGATTTTAGTGCCATGTGGACTTATTGGTAGATGCCAGTGTTTTGGAGACAATATGAAATGGAGTAAAGAGCAAACACTGGTGTCTACTGACCAGTCCAGACCAACACCAAAACCCAGAACATCATCGTCGTCATCGTCACCACCATGAATACCTCAGATCTTATATGGTAGATTCAGTAGTTTGGCAGATACATTTTCTAGGCAAAAAGTTTCCTCATTAGTACAAACTTTTTTATGTATTTTCCTTTAATTCTTACAATTAAATATCTAATTTTTTATTATAAATGTAGGTGTGTTATTATTTTTAGCAATCTTTTAGCCAATTATTTATGTCTGTTGATGGAATTTTAAAGAGACCTTCTTTTGCTTTGGTAGAAAATTGAACATTTCTGAAAAATTGTTTATGTTAAAATTTCCATGATACCATCCATAAAATAATTAAATTTCCTAGACAATGATATAGCCTTTATCATATTAGATTAAACTATATGGGGGTCCTGTATTACCACTAAAAATGTAAATGGGTCCATATTAGAATCCCCCTCCTCGATAGGTGATCAGAAAGGTTAAGCATTCTTTGTATAAAATGTTTACATTCAATTTCATTCTCACAAATGGTTTGATGAGGGCCACATTTATACATTCTTTGGCTCTAAGCCAGAGCCCATTCCTGGGCCACAGGTTGCCATGAAGCCAATAAATGTCATAGCACATACTATTTTTTAGAGTAATTATTTTTGTATTTTAGTATTTGAGGAGCACAGAATTTTGGTTCTGGAGTATTTTGAAAGCCACAAGGGTAATTGACAAAATAACAGTGATAGGATATAAGAAATATCAAATAGTTTTTCTGTTTAAACTCTTTTACTCAGTGTTCACACATTCTGTAATTTTCTTTTTATGTATTGCAAATAAAAAGTGTGGATAAATGTTTTTGTTCTAACTAAAATAAAAGAACTGGGTTGAGGTAATTTTGAAATGGAAATGCATCAGACAAATCTACTTCAATTTTATTGGAAACTTAATTCATATACATTTTGTTGAACTTCACAATAATTTCTAATTTTATTTTGAATGTGTACTACCAGAATTAAGAGAAACATTACAGTAATGTCTGCACATTCTGTTCCACACTTTTGTGACAGTGGGGAATAGTCAAAATCAAATAAAAAATATTTTATCTAGAACAGTTTCGAGAGTTTATACAAATAATTACAGTCACAGCAAGATTTGGGCATAATGAATTCTTGGGCTACCAGCCATGTCAGGTGATCATCCTCAGGGAACTGAAACCACTTCAGCACCTTGAGGATGATGAAGATGGTCTTCAAAATGTTAATGTTTTCACCTTTCAACCACCTGACAGCTAGTAGCTCAAGAAGAATTCATTATACTTGGTTGCTGTGAAAGCTTCAGATCATACAAGGTCTGGGCTGCATGCAAATTTAAGGAATCTTTTTGCATCTGTTATTTGATGACTTCTCTGTGGTCCGGTGGTTGTGTTGAAGCTACATTTCTGACCATGACTTTAAGTCAGCATACTCTGTGTATGCAGACATTAAGAAAGTATAATATTAATACAAATATCTGTAGATGGTCACTACCGATATTTTGTTTCACTTGTTTCATTGAATCAGAATGTGGACTTTGCAAACTATTAAGGAAGTGTATTTATTGCACCAGTATAAAAATTACTACCATTTATTTGCTTTTAAAGCTATGAATCTTAAACTCTCTAGGGAGGAAATGAATCATTTTGGTGTATTTATTCACCACGAGAGCTTAAAATTTGCATTACCATTTGGAGCTTTAGTTATTTCCAAGTGTGGTTGGCAACTCGTGCAAATGGCACTAGGTTAATGACCTGTAATCTTAACGAACTTGCAAATTGAATGCAACCAAAGCACACACTTGGGAGTGGTGAATGGTTTGGAAGGCATTAATTTAGTATCTGCTTACAAAAACGAAGCTATTAACGATATTTGAGGGGCAAGAACTGTGTTTTGCTGCTAACATTTTAACTCATTATTATCTCTGAAAGAATATGTATGTTGTCATACCCCATACAATCGAGACAACGTACGTAACAACACCTAAAATTCAAGTAATATTTATTACGAGTAACGTTGGAAGAAATTAGGTGCGGTCGCCTCTCCACTTAAATATTATGCAGGTTCAGCCTTTAACATGTTAGCAACATCAGGCACTTTTTGTTTTTGATCCAAACTGTAGTGCAGAGTTGCTTTGAATTATGCGTAAGTCCCAATTATTCACATTTCAGAAGCCAGTCTTGTAGGACCGTGCTTCCTAATGATAAGCATTTTTCTCCTAACAAATTATCGGGAATTGAGTGGAACGTGGCCTTGAGTTAGTCACATGGTAAGTTACGGGGCATTGCAGCGAACACTGGCAGTGATGAGCGTTTTCGCATAGCATAGTGAGGTGGTGTGTGAGATATGTTGTGAAAGCTGTTGTTAGGCAGTTGAAACCAGTATGGCACAACAGCGATAAGTGAAATCGGAAGATGTCTAGTACGCTACAAGTACCTACAGGTGCCCCAGAGCCACCCCCAAGGAGACGGCATTCTTGGACCAGCAGAAGACGGTCTAGTCTGATTTCATTTCCCCATACACATAGAAGGTCGCTTTATGGTCCTCTAGAAATGGTAAATTAAAATAATTCTATGTATGCTCAACGTTTTGATGTAGTTTTACAGTCAACATTTAAGCATGGTGCTTGTTAATGTAATCGTTTTATAATAATTTGCGGCCAAGTTTTATAAACCCAGCAACCCTGTTGAACTCTAGACCAAATTATGCAGTAATTATAAGTAACATTAAGGTCATGCATTCTGGGAGCACTTTATTCTAAACAAATCGACATTGATTTTGTGCAAGGCGGGTTTGGAGAAATGAGGCGTCCAAGTCCTTGGATTGCAGTATTTGGGAGCGTTCAGAAGGTTATGACGTCATGTGATAAACAGTTTGACAAGTCAGTTATGACGACAGATACACTGGCATTGGGAGAATGATTAGAAAACAGAGCATGGCGTAAAGAGTCGTGTCTGTAGAATATATTGATTTTTAAAATTAATTTATGTGCCAAGTCTAAGAAGCGACTGAGTTTCTTTGTGATTTGAAGGTTTTGAGATATTCGATTGACTTATTACGGTGTAATGGTGGTCGGTTTCGATTTGTGGATAGTTCCTTTCAAGGAGTAGCTTAATTCCTTTCCGCTTGTAAATCGGAATGGAAATTTGGTGATTTCAGAATAATACAAATGCCGTTTGAGAATAATCGGAGTGAGTTTTCGGTTCCAAGAAATGTATACGGTTATATGCGATCAGTTGGAGTTGAAGATGTAAGTGTGTTGCTTTGACAAGTGGCCATAATATGATTCGCAGAAAATAAATAATTAGTTGTTAGAGAATTTGGGTAGAATACTGAATCATCGAAGGACAACAAAAATGTTTTTACTTTTTTTTATAGAAAATATGCATTTCCCATCTTCTACATTTACCATTTTATAAATGATTGAATGCATGATGTTGCTCAAAATGTTAATATTATTGAAATCCACCGTTTGAGAAAATTTGAGTTTCGGCAGAATACAGTTGGGAATGACTGATTGTGTGTTATTGAAGTGATGTAGGTTGTGTTTGGGTACAAGTGATTGATTTCTGGTACTTGATCAAAGATGTGGACATACATTACAAGTGGTTGGGTGTGTAAGATTATATTTCACCAAATGTTTTTTACTCAAAATTGTATGGTAAAATCTTAGCACATCCTTTCTCTATGAGATGCAATTTCCCTCTCTGCTTTTGTCATATCGATTTTATACTAATCAGCTTTTCAATAACATGATGAAACAGGTAAAGTGCATGTTTCATATCTACAAGATGGTCTGTTGAAATAGAATTGTATATACATATTCATTTTTACTGGTGTTGACTTTTCAGGGACTTCAGCTGCCGCAGGTATTTAGACTATTGATGGTCCCATTATGCATCCCTGATGTGTTAAAACCCTTCATAGCTCTTATTACACTGCTAGAAATAGTAGCAGTCTGAATAAGTTCATCCTATTATCTATTGGCTGTAGCCATACAGAATAAAAGATCTCTGATCCATGTCTAGTCATTAGTCAGCATTGCATATTGTATGATATGAGGATTCCTCTTGTCTATATTTGCTGCATTTGGCACTTTCCAAGAGGCCCATCATATGTAAGTGCCATCTTAATATACATTGGTCAGTTAACAACCTTGTTCCCAGCCTGTATTGTTTCCTCTTTAAGCCCATTGGGTCCATAGACAGTTTATATTAGGGTCTTCTAATGAAAAACTATGACTGCCTCGTACCTTATGCAGTAGTCCGGTGTTCAGATTACCTCACTATCAGCTGCTCGTTAGCCTTGAGCCTGCAAACACATGGCAAGAATGAAATGTTGGTTTGGGACTTGAGAATGTTTTGCTCAATCCCTCGTTTACCAGGGCACTCACATTCTTGTTATTCTGAATCCAACAACTTCAAGGGTTAACCCCTTATAGGGTAGTAGTAAATGTATACTACTTGAAGATGGCTGTCTTCTGGGTTGTTATGCTGTGTAGTCTGGTAGAAGTTTGCTGACTTTTAGAGGTCCTTGTCTCCATCATCAGGGAGATGACTAGCCCTGATGATGGAGGCAGCATCTTCAGACTCACCGCTGTGAAAACCTCAAATCCTACTGTGTACCACTTATTTTAAATTTCTCTAATTCGGTGTGTAGCCCATGTAGTGTCTCTATAGTTCACATTTGGTTTTCAGAACAAACAGCAAAGCTTTTTATAAAAATCATTAAAATCCTGAGCTTTCTATCAGTGTTGCAGTGTGTTTTCTTGGAAGTAGAAACCAAATTGTTAAATATTATTTAGATCAGTGTGGTCCAACTGGCGGCCCGCGGACCGGATCCAGCCCGCGAAAGTATTTGTTAATTTGTTACTGATGAATACAAACCCATTTTTGTAAAGTTAATATTCCATCACTTTTAAAAGAACATTCTGCTCAGTGCTCTCACTAAAGCCATTGACTTTTAAAGCATAAGATGTACTTTCTACTGGTATAAATTGTTATTGTATCAGGTACAAGCTGTTAAAGTAGCAGAGTTCAAATAATTTGTGTAAGTTTTCCAGGTAAAAAATTGTGATCTGTTGCAGGAGCAAATTTAAAATAATATACAACTCTATAGTAGTTTGTGCTCATTTAAATAAAAATTTATATTTCATCATATGCAATGGTAATTTGTCATTTCTGAATAAGTATTATTAAAGATAATGACAATGCAAAAACAGTGACAGTAGGGGTTTCTTAACCCTTGGGGTCTAACAGGAAAACTTCTGGCCTGAGTGAGGAAAAAATTTGGACCACCCTGATTTAGATGATATTTACCCTTGAAAGGGATTTATGTTTGTTAGCAACATTTCACAGTTCTGGGTTACCATGGCCATAATGGATAAGGGGCCTATTGTCCTCTCTGATAAGTATTGTTGCTCCTTTATCTGCATTGATAAGAGACTGCCAGATTGTGATATAGCAAAAATGCATGGTGTTTTGTTTCTACATTTTTCATACTCTTGCATAAAGAACAGTGTTAGTGTAAAGGTAGACGTGTATGTGTTTAAGCACTACAACATTATGGGTTGGTGGGGCAGAAGTAAATCATACGCATTCTTAACCCTCTGATGCCGAAGCTTGTCAAAATAATATTTAAAAATTCACTCTTTTATCCAAAACATTTGAAGTCAACATGTAGTTTAAGATATTTATGAAGAGCTTGTAAGAAAAACATCGACTTTATGACCCATCGCAAGAAATAGGACAGAATATAAATTTTAATAATTTAGTAACTACAGAATATGCAAGATTATACATTTACCTAACAGTAACTTATTTGTGACATGATGTGAAGCGAAGCAGAAGCATTGAGATCTTTGTAGTGAAGGTAGCTTATTTTCTTAAGCAGTTAGCATAAAAAAGTGAAAGCTCTTGACATTAAGGAAATATTCATACAAAACATCAGTGAATATCCCCCTTTAACGAATTGTTTGTGTCTTAAGTGGGTTATTACTTTTTTTTCTTGTGATTGGAATGCATATATTTATATATCTACTTTATACGTAATCAGCCTTAAACAACAGGCTTATTACCTGTTTGAAAGATCTGTTATAGACATTTTCAGGATTGTGTAACCTCTTATTAGTATGTTGAGATTGGAATTTTAAAAATATATGCTCCTGTGTTTTGGATCTTTGAGTTTTGTCATGAATGGAACAAGTGGTATGCTTGAGCGTGGAGAATGCTTATAAGCATTTGGTTGGAAAGCCGCAGGAGAAGAGACCACATCAGTGGCATAGATACTGGGGATGCTGTGCACAGGCACTGATCCTTCTGACAACCAAAATTTAACTGTAAATATTATTAATCTGTTTGAACTTATAATCTTAATCTAAATATAAAATACAAAAAACTAAATAAATAAATAGATGTAAACTGTCATCACGTGACTTCAGTGTTATGTGAAAGATTTTTTAACGTAAATGATTGATAATGGATGTTGGAGCTCTTCTGGTGTGATTAGGTTTGCGACTGAGTGGGGTGAGGGTGTGAGGTATAATCCATGTAATGGGGTTCAAACTTATCAGCTGCTCCTGGGCCCCTAGAAATATCGCCATGTTATTCTACTTTTTTTATAAGAACTACTCATATGCTTGTTGGAAACAGGTTACAAGGTTGTCGACTGGTTTTCGGTGGCCTTGGATGGAATTCAGTGTTTTTTATTTTTACATGTTACAGGCCTTCAAGTTTTATAAAAAAATTTTTTAACTAACTGCAGAAGTATCAACTGCTCCAGGAAGATTTCTTATTGTGAAGTTAGTTTCTTTTTTGGTAATCATTGGTTTTATATTAGCAATAACTTGGTTTGTCTTTGCATATGAAAGGGGAAAAGTCTGATGAGGTAAGTAGGTGAGACATGATACCAGTTGCATGTCAGGTACTAAGTAGCTCTAAAGGAAGGGCATGAATATTATTTATGAAGATCAGGGCCTGATGACGGAGGCAGTATGACCTCTGAAACGTTGGTAAACATCGACCAGACTACACAGCGCAACAACTCAGAAGACAGAAATCTTCATACTCTGATGATGGAGGCAGTATGACCTCTGAAACGTTGGTAAACATCGACCAGACTACACAGCGCAACAACTCAGAAGACAGAAATCTTCATACTCTGATGATGGAGGCAGTATGACCTCTGAAACGTTGGTAAACATCGACCAGACTACACAGCGCAACAACTCAGAAGACAGAAATCTTCATACTCTGATGATGGAGGCAGTATGACCTCTGAAACGTTGGTAAACATCGACCAGACTACACAGCGCAACAACTCAGAAGACAGAAATCTTCATACTCACTGCTGTGAAAACCTCAAATCTTACAATATTATTTATTTTAGTTACACAGGGAAATTTGTTTATTAATGATGAATGATGTAAATTGCTGAAGCTGTTGTTATTTTGCAGATGGATGAAACAAGTGCATTGAGACTGAGAGTTATAGCAGGTCATCAGCTAGCAAAGAAAGACATTTTTGGAGCCAGGTAAAACCCGATTTAATGGTTATGTTTGTCATTAAATTTTAGGATTTCCTCATGTCTTATCTCACAGATGTAAGATCTATTTAGTATTGTTATTGTACTGAACTTTTTTTTCAATGTAATGTACCCATATTAATCTCGTTATTAGTAATATGATTTGTGCTTTTTTCCCCTCTGTTAGTCAAGCTCTGTTGTCCTTGAAAGTTCAACATTATGTTCACCAAAGATTGCATTGAATCCATGCTGTATTTATTCAAGATCAAGTTCATTATTGTTGTTTTAGTAGCACGTATTCTCCTCCATTGAGTTTCTGTGACAAAAACTTTGTATATGTATTTTTCATTTTTTTCATGCATGCTGTATGTCTTGCTTATATCATCATCCTTGACTTAATAACCCTAAAAAATCTTAGCAAAAAAGTTTACATTATGAAACACCTTACTATGTAATTTTGGAGGGAAGTTGGACACTCACTTCCATTTTGTAAAAGTAAAGTTTGTCCCGCTGCGTGCCATGCAGGCGCTTGGGGTGAGCTGAGGTATAGCTCCTACTTTTTCTTGACCTCGGCACTAGATGGGGGTGAGTGGTCAGCATCACGCCCCAGCCGCGCTTTACCCCCGGGAAAGGACACCAGTACCCATCGTAGAGGAGGCTGGGTGGGCCCCAGAGCCGGTCTGGATGCAGAGGCTAGCCTAATTTTTATTTCCTTGTTTCAGTGATCCTTATGTAAGAATTGACCTCAACACAATTAATGGAGATGAAACTGTTGATTCATTTCTCACAAAAACGAAGAAAAAGGTACTACAAGAATCGCATTTCAAATATTTTATTTAATACATGTAGGCCCCACTTTACGACGCTTCATTTTACGCTGTTTCACATTAACGCCCTTTTAAAATAATAATGAAAAAAAATATATAAAAAGAAATGTTGAAAACGCAAGCATAAACGCAGCATAGGAAGTGGGTACCTAGGCAGAGCTAGTGCCAGCATCAGTTGCTTTCTCCTCGTCCACCAGTACAATACATTAGAATTCTTCCTCGATTTACGCCGCTTTAGGTAACGACCATGAGGAGGTGGGACGTAACCCCGGCGTAAATCGGGGCCTACTTGTATTTCATTTATGAGAATCTTTGTATTTGAACATCAAATCCTGTTATATGAGTAAGTTCCTGTTAAAACAACTTGTGAAAATGCAAATATTTTAAATCATATGAACGTCCTGTGCCCTGTTATTTTGGGTGTCAGGTATTCAAATAAATTCTTATGTTTTGGATTAACTGATAAAACTAAACGATGGTCTTTCTCTTACAGACACTGAATCCACAGTGGAATGAAGAGTTTATATTGCGTGTAAGTTCTTTCTGAGTATGTTTCACTTTGTAGTGCTAGTAATTAATTAGTTTCAATCAGTTGTTTATGAAAAATCTTCGTTCAGATTCAAGGCTTGGTTTGATCTTTCTGTGCATTAGATGAATAAAATAAACGATTTGGGGAGATTGTGTCCATCCTCATGTATCATATCCAGAATTATTGATTCGATGTTGACAAATTTTGAGGTGCATTAATCCTGGTTAAGTATAACACACGATGAAGCTCATATAATACTTTATAATTGTTTTGAAAAGCATCTTATTCTGCAGAAGATTTGTACTTGACATAAAATTTTCAAAGTATGTAAGATCTGTGACTTTTATATGAAATATTTTTTAGTGTTTAATAAAATGTATGGAAAAATAATTTGTGTGATTAATATTGATCACTGTTAAAGCCTGAATTGAAATTTATAACTAATTTCATTCAAAGTATGTCAAGGTTTTAAGTACATTATTTGATAGCTAATTCAGTGGTTGAAGAATGGCAGAGGAGGGTTTCCATATGCACGGGAAAATTTATTTCCATCTGAAATAATAGATTCATTTCAGCAATAAATGAACATGAAGACTGATGAAATGTACAGAATTGCGAGTGAAAATAATTTGTAACGACAGGTTGTACACAAGATTTGGGATTTTCATACCATTAAAAATTTGGATTGTCATCTGGGTTATGATGCCCTGTGCTCTTATAGGTGGTTACCACCGTTTTGGAGAGGCTTATTTCATTTTTAG